GCTAGGCTGTCGCCCAATGACCTGGGGAAGCGGCCGTGGAGGATCTCCAGGAGTCACGTACCGATTCGCTAAGGAACGCTGTAGATTTAGTTTAAGGGGACTCGAGGGAAGGGATAAGATTTATCGGCGATAAGAATCTCGACCAATCAGAATGATCAGTAATCGAATTTGACTATTGTCAAAGTCTTGGGACACCGATCGGGCTGCCTCGCACTGCCGGGCTGTTTGCTTATAGTTTTCGCGTTGCTCTCGCAATATCAAGAAAATCCTACCAATTTTCTGGGTGAGTTTCGAAGGTGCAACCTCCAAGTGATACCAGCTCGTCAGTTCCCGATGAAAAAAAAGAATTGAGAATTGGAATGCGGATGCGTGAACGAAGGGTGGATGGCTGAAGATGACGTAGATTAGTTCCCGAATTTTTGGCTGTCGGTGTCGAGTTGTGAAAGCACATATATATATTACACGTATAACCCACTCTACGCACGCACATTAATATCTGTAGTAATACGGAGTACCTCATTTATTAATTTCATATTTAACATGTTACTTAAACAATGCAAAAGTCCAATCTAACGCAGCTGTTGTTTAATTGAACGATTAAAAGTTGCGAGGTGGCAGTTTCAGGAATTTAGGCATAGAGTATGAACGACACAGAAGTGCTACGTAGTAATTCTTTTTTTTCCTCTCTAACTGGCTTCATCCAATTTTGACGAGCAATTTTTTAAATTCCTTAAATCATATTCAAATATTGTCTTCGCTCAGCTTTTTTTTTCCAACCAATTTTTCATCTTAGCGTCCATTTACCATGTGGCTACTAAACTTCCTCATAGGCACACGTGCCGGTACATTCATACGTGTTATCGTACACCTATGTATACCCGGTGGCACAATGTTTCTTAGGCGTGATAATTATAATTATACTTTTAGTATATAAGACGGGAATTTCTTTTTGAGTCTTTCGAAGATTCACAAGGTCTCCTCGTCTCCACTTACATTCTAGCTTGTATTGTTAAACTTCTCCAGTCTTTCTATTCTATGGGATACTCCGACTACTTCCTTCTCTTCACCATGAATAATATTTCCATTGCCGCAGTCGCGAGGTCGTCACACACTGAGTCACTATGCTCGACATACGTGAAAAAAGCCTACGTCATATACCAACAGTATATTGCACAGTATTGAATGACTGTTGAGAAGGATCTATATGATTTTTGAATATTTTAGTAAGAACGAAGTAAACGTATTGACGTTCAGGAATAGTCGATGTATTTTTTTTTTTTAATATTGAATAATTCTTCCCGCTGTCACGTACGATAAGAAATTATCAATCGTAGGCGCGAGAGGAGTCTATCTAACGGTTAATTCTTATCAGACTTCTTATCTATTTTGAAAAAAAAAAGATGGATTTACAATTTCCTGCTTACTCGTATATTTCCTTCTTTTTCTTCCGCTTTAATTGCATTTCAAGAACAAAATTCACGAACGTTCTTTTTTTTTTTCAATTTATTTTTTTTACTATTTTCCATTGAAACTCAAATTTCAAAATGGCCTCACGTTTCGCGATCCAAGTCGCTCTTTTGATCTAGCACACGACTCGCCGAGCAATTTAACAGCTGACGCACAGATGTTGCCGTGGCGAGTTTACAAAGGCGCGAAGAAGCTTCACCGACAAAGCTCCCACGTGTGGATCCGCCCGTATACATTGAACTACATAGTCCACAGTAGAATCGTCCGACTTGCATAGAATAAAAGACTTCATCGTACGCGCAGATACAGAACGTTATAAACTAGACGTTTCTATATATCTAGGATCTTCGCCTGACGCTTCTTAAGGCGACTCCACATGTACGTCGGTATCCATATAGCCATATATCCAACGTACCATTAATAGCCTGTAACTGAATGTAGATCGGATTATTAATCAATACGATTAAACTCATCTCGCAAAACCATTCATCAATTCATTCTCATATCGCGATCGCTGACCAAGTTGTCGCGCGTTGTAAATTGATCTTCAGATAAATAACTACTCATCCCTGAGTATACAGATATGCTCGATGGTTGTCTATCAAAGTTTACTGGTTACTTCCCAGCGATAATTGACGACTGACATGAAGTGCCATTACGATCAGCGACATCATAGTCGCTTACATTGCGCAATGATTTCTTCTACCAATATCTCATGAAGTACGTGACTTTGTTTACATTGAATTGCCTCTATTTATCAAACATTGCCGAAATGCTTCAATATTATAATCCCTTATAAAAAAATTTTTTTTTTTTTTTTTTTCATAAATCTAACACAGCAATTTAAAAAATATGTATATACATACATACCCACAGCCAGCATATTTTTAACTGTCCAAGGCATTAAAAGTCCAGGAATAAGATTTGGCAAGATCTGACCGACTGGTACCCGTTGAGCAACCATGATTGCTCGTATGGCCCGGGCCGGCAAAGAACCGCTTTCGGCCACTTTCTCCAGTTAGTGAAATGCCACGGTTCTCCATCGTTGCCGTGGCCCAAGCCAATCGCCATGGGAGGCGAGCCAAGTTTTTGTTGTGTTCTCACTTTTTTTTTTTTTTCATCATCCTCCACCAGTACCCCCTCCTTTATACACTTCAGGGCAAGTTTCGCTGTTTTCTGGAATGAAAAAAGGACTTACGCAATAAACCGTCCAAATTGTCGTTGCTTTTTAATACGGAACCAGTGGAGTTCTCCAAGCCATAGATACACACAGGTGGCGTTTTGATTCCTTCAGGAACACTTGTTCACGTGGCTGTTGCGTTTGCCTGAGGAATTGTCATTGCGAAATTACACCCTGTATATATATATATATATATATATATATATAGCACTTAGTACTGCTCGTGGATGATAGGAGTGAAAGGGGCCAGGATCAACAGGTTGTTGCAGTATTCTCGTTCCGTTCGCATCGAGGCGATCCTCCGCGTTAACCTTTAGTCAGGAAACTCCAGCAATTACCTGTCGTCATCCTTGTTCCAGGGTATAGGACGAACAGAGACAGTCTAGGAAGCGGTTACTTGCCGTAGAACCGCGTAAAGGTCGCGGATGAACAATTTTCGTAATCGATCAAAATAATCGGCGATCGGCTCGCGGTACGATTTGTTGTCTCGTAAAATTTCGCTTTCGTGAAAACGAGTGGCAGTGTATTTTTTTTCTCGTGCGAATAAATCGACGAAAGCAAACCTATTGGTAGGACCCGGGCAAGTGCTGGTTAGAAAATAGTTAAACGTCTCGAATTCATTAGTCACAGACTGGTGGCCACGCGGCAGCTAAAAACGTGCTCGGGATATCTTTTGTTTCGCCATTTTTTCTTCTTCCGAATCTCTCTTACGTGTTGCAGTTTGATAGTGTCAAAAAAAAATTGATACTCGCAAAAGTCAATGGGATATAACTTCAGTACCCGTGCACCGGATGACTGTGTGGTACTTGGGTTGAATAAAAAAAAAAAAAAAAAAAAGA